TTCTTTATGGAGTACATGTAGTAGTTCTATTGAGAAGAAGTGACGTGAATTTTGAATGCACAAAGTTTATTATTATGTCTTTGTGTACAATGTATTATCTGTGATTTAATGATTTTACAGTATGTGAATGGTTTGTTACTGCCTCATCACCAGACAGTACATTTATAGTTCATCTCCGTGACCTTTCAACTGAAAAGTGGTTCGATTATCTGGACATTGGTGAAGGTCATGACCTCAATGATGTTTCCACTCGCGTTCATCACATGTCTGGTAGAATTCGTCCATGGTTTTTTTGGTCCTCATCCACTGATAAACTCTGGTTCAATTTCTATTCTGACTTTTGGACCAGGTATAGAGGGTTTATGGTGGACATTGAAGAGATTCTTACAGGTGAGTATGGCATGGCTATAGTATCACAAAGAAATAATTTTAAGAAGGCTTTTGACTATATTCTATGGTTACTTGGTTTCTGTTTATAATTTCCTGATATGTCAACATTGCCTACCATGAGTAGAGGTCCTAAACACCTAATGATTAGTGCATGGATTCGATTCTATTCTATTCTATTCTATTCTATTCTATTCTATTCTATTCTATTCTATTCTATTCTATTCTATTCTATTCTATTCTTATTCTATTCTATTCTATTCTAGATGTGCCACCAACTCAGAAACCAGTGCCAACAGATCCACCAGCAACACCAGAACCTGGCATAGAAGAATGTGGTGGAAACATCACCATATTATCAGACCAATTTATCAGTATTACTTCACCATATTATCCTGATAACTATGACGACAATCGCTACTGTCTCTGGTTGATTAATACTGAAAGTAATCTGCGTATAAATGTGACTTTTGTTGATTTCCACACTGAATATTGTCACGATTGGTTAGAGATTGGTAATACCCATAACTATAATGATTTGACAACCAGTGCTTTGAGAGAAAGTGGTGAACAAGACATAAATCCATTCAGCTCTAATGGTGATGAGATATGGATCACATTCTCAACAGATTATTCCATTACTTATAAAGGGTTCCACTTGTTACTGAAGGAAATCAAAGAAGGTAAGGTCAATGATAGTTATGATAATTTTTAAAATTAATGGGAAATTGTTTCTGTTTTGCCCAAAATTATTGAAGGAATTGTAGAAAAATATATACATGTAAGTGTGCAAAACTATGCATTAAAATTTGGTATATGGAACTCGAAGAATTAATAGTTGATTGCCTAGATCTTGGAAAAGAGATTTCTGAAAATCCAGGCTAATTTGATATGCAGTGACTTAGGTTTCATTTAATTAACTCACTGTCAATTTAAATATATTTTTCAACAGATGAAAACATTTGTGGTGGCGATCTTAAAATCGACTTGGAAGAAAACAACTCTGTAACGTTCTTATCACCAAATTACCCAGACAACTATGACAACAACGCTTATTGTAAATGGACAATCTCATTAGTCTCATCAGTACCCAATCAGAAACACCTTTACATTGCGATTAACAGTTTTGATATAGAGGAGAACTTTGATTGGTTGGAGATTGGTTCAGGTTCAGATAGCAGCGAATCATCTTCTTTGATGTTTAGGTTTTCTGGATCTGATGTCTCAGGTTCCTATGCAACTAAAGAAGACATTTTGTGGGCTGTGTTTACAAGTGATCTGAGTAATACTGCTACAGGATTTAATATAACAGTGTATGCAGGTAAGGCTCCCATAGATGTTATAGTTAATGTCACTGGTGTTTAGGCAAGGTATTTGTCTGATGTTGATATCGACTGGTGTTGTACACCACCTCAAGCTACCTCTGACAAACTATGCATATTGAGTTCACAAAGCTCTCATTTGATGAAATTAGTGCTTGCCTTTACTTAAACATACTGCTCTAGAAAGTGTTATGTGATACAAGTTCTGATTGGTTGCTGATCCATGAGACTTGAACTTGATTTGCATATTAGGCGGTTGGCCAGATGTAATATATTGAAAGTGAACCAGAGCTGCCTTAATCCCAGATTTGCTTCTGTTTTATAGGTGCACATTTCATTACAAATACCCTAAGTAATCTACAACGGACAACAGATTGCTTCTGACCACAAGGTCACTTATTAACTAAAATGACAAATTATTTCAATTTTGACAGTTCTGACTACTGTCAAAAATTTGAATCTTCTGTCTTGCCAATGTGAAGTTCTTCTGTTGTTCAGTATTATTGGTCATGTAAAAGTATTTTTTATCCCATATTCAATGTTTTCTGTTTTTCTTTTCTTAACCAGTTGACCCATGTGGTGGTTCTCTGAGTGGTCCAACTGGTAATATTACATCACCAATATATCCACATCCATATCCTCATAACAGTGAATGTTACTGGAATATCACCGTAGAAGAAGATTCAATTATTAAGTTGTCTTTCTATTTCTTTGACCTGGAAAGTGGATATGATTATCTTTACGTTGGGGATTTGTTGGCAGCTGATGACCAGCCTTTGATTGTAAGTACAGCTGCATAGCTATGCTTTTATTTGAATTTTATTATTTTATTGATGTGTTGGTACATAAATTTGTGGCTGTCAATCTCATAAGGTGTAATAAATATTTTTTATTTTTTTATAGGAATTGACTGGAAGTGAGACACCAAAAGACCAGATTGTAGATACCCACAATGCATGGCTGTTGTTCACCTCTGACCTATCTCAGGATGGTCAAGGATTTTATCTGACATATGAACAGTATGATGAAGGTACGTAAGCTTAAAGGGCGACAGTCGTCGCGCCGCGCCTGTTCGATATGGGACTCATAGCAACGTATACAACGCGTGTAAAATACATTGTTTATTTACATAAAATTCAAACATGCGCTGCGCGACGATCACTGCGCTTTAAGATTATTTGGCACTCCCTAAACATTAGTTGAAGTTCCCAAGAAAAAGATTGTTATTGCCAGGTCAATTGATAATTATTATTTTTCGTTTGCAGAGCTTATTATTGCAAAACCATGTGGGGGAGCTTTCGAAACAAAACCTGACTCTAAACTTGTAATCCAATCACCAAATTACCCATCTCAATATAACAACAATGAACGATGTGTGTGGAATGTCACCTCTTCACCGGGGACCAGAATGTCAGTTCGTTTTCGGGACTTTGTGACAGAACCAGGACACGATTGGGTTGATGTTGGTAATGGACTTGATGAAAGTGATTTATCTACGAGAGAAAGACATCATTCAGGTTTTATAAGACCAGTATCATGGCTATCAGCTGAAGAAGCATTATGGATAACTTTTAACACTGATGATTCTGTCAGATTCCGTGGCTTCCTTATATACATAGAAGAAAGAAATGACAGTAAGTCTGAATAGTTTGTTCTGGAAAACATGAAGTACGTTTGTTCCTCTGTCTGCCTACATCAGTATTTTCTATCATAAGTGTACACACTAAGTGCCATATGGATATAGTAAACTACCAAATTTGACTTGACTGCACTAAATTTTCATCTTCAACTAGACTTAGTATTACAGGTGTGGGCAGTAATTACTCATAGTTGCCTTCAGACTGATAAATGATCTTATAGTGAAAATAACGTATCAAACTATAGATCTTAGACCAATTATATGTATTACCTGTGTTACATGTGTAACAATTCACTGTACTAATCAATATAATATTAATTATATCTGCCATTGTGTTTTTCCAGCTGATACCAGTGAACCCAAACCACCAGTAGTAACCACACTACCTCCTGCAATCTCTACAACTTCCATTGGCACAACAATGACTGTATCACCAGTAACAAGTGAAGGAACTACAATATCGGGAACAACAATTAAAGCTACTACAGTATCACCGACACCATACTGTGGTGGTTTTATCAGTGTGCCATCTGATGGAGTTGAGACTGTGATATCACCAAACTATCCTGAGGACTATGATGATAATTTACTGTGTGAATGGACTGTTAGTGCTAGTCCAGGCAAAAGAATCAGAGTGCATGTGGAGGATTTCAAGACAGAAAAAAGGTGTGTATTATGAAAAATAATTGTAATTTTGTCACTTTTAATAATGCATAACTAAACATGCTGGATGATAGTTTTCTTGCAGTGTACTGTTGTAGTCACCGTTATAGATAATTGTGTCACATATTGCTTCAAGCTAAATTTTCATCTTATATATATCAACTGTTGTGATTATTTCTCTTCCCATATGTCGCTTATTGTTTCCTAATTACAGACATGATTACCTTGATTTGGGTGATGGTCATGATATGGACAAGGAAGCCTCCAGATTTGAAACTCTAACTGGCAATGAGAAAGAACAAAGTCACGTGACAGCAACAGATAAAATGTGGATGAGATTTGTTACTGATCACAGGAAGACATATCGTGGATTTAAGATTAATCTGAGTGAAGAAAACGGTAAGGAGACACTTCCAGTGAGCTGAGCAATATATAGAACATCTATGGAACAGGATCAGACATAATGGTATTGATATGTTCTCTTTTTTCAGAGTGTGTTAATCAAAGTGTTGTCATACCAACTGGTGGTAGTACTATCATTACATCACCAAACTACCCAGAGAATTATGAAGACAGTGTATTCTGTGAATGGATAGTATCTACTGAGTCACTTGGAAATATTAGGGTGTATGTGGATCATTTCAAAACTGGTATGTCCGGGGTTTTGCTGTTAGAAACTAAGAAAATGTTTTTTAAAAATGTTGTTATATCATTATTTGATTATTCAACAATTCTCATAATGCTATTGTACTATTGTCTGAATTGTTTGTTTAAAACTAGCTGTAATGTAATAATCGATTTTGCATAATTTGAATTAATTGGTAGGAAACCTTACATTAGTTTGAATGTTTATATACTTTAACTCCTCTATCTCCTAATATCCTAAGTTGTGATTTAATTCAAACAACTTGATAAATTGAAGTTTTCATTTAAAATTTACAGAAAGGAACTATGATTGGGTTGACATGGGAACAGACAGTAATTCAATGAATCTGTCTACACGTATATTACATGAATCTGGTAACAAGAAGACACCACATGAATTCTATACACCGTCTAGTATTGTATGGTTAACATTCATGAGTGATCATGATAAGACTGATGATGGATTCCACATGCAACTATTTGATGGTATTAAATCATTTAATTTTATATTCAGTTGGTGATTTTAGGTTTATATATCTTATGTATTAATGTTGGATCAGGTATGTAGTGATGTTGATAATGATTACTGGCATGTATTATGAAATATCCGTGCAGTTACTCAAAAGTAGCACATCCGGTCAAATTTCTAGTCAGAGTTCTTGGTCGTAACCTGTTTTGCAAACAAATGATCAATGAAAACAATTGAAAATGTGAGAGGTACATTGTACATGCATACAATTAATATTATAATACCAGATTCAATAAGAGGTTGTGAATTGTGTATGTTCATTTTAAGCTACACACAGTGCATTAGAAACGCATTCATTAATACTGCGTGTATGGAGTTTTGAAAGACTGTTCTCTTTAATCTGAGAATATAATTTTTTCTTGCTATCTTTTCAGATGCCTGTGTTGCCGAGCATTTAACATCAGAATCTGGAGTGATATTATCACCTAATTACCCAGATGATTATCCTCATAATTTGGATTGTGTTTGGGTGATACAGTTACCTGCAGGAGAGCGTATCCATCTCATATTTGTGGACTTCTATGTGGAAAAGAATTATGACAAATTATTAATTGGAGAAGGACTAGATCCAAATTCTGATGAATATGTGGTAAGGCTGTGTACAGTGATATGTGTCCAGTAGATTATGTATGTAGTAACGAATTGTGGAGAAGATTTTGCTTCAGTAATGGATGGGCTGCCTTATATGGAATGCCTGGGCTCATCCTGACACAGAATATACTTTGTCTGCAACTGTAATCTGTAACAGATCCACTATTTCTGATAATGTTAAAAACAATGAGGGGATGGAATTGGTTACATAACAAAAGTGCAAGAACAAAACAGCAATGATCTATATATGTTTTTGTATGTTATTTTATCATTACTATGTAGCTTTGATAACCAATTTTCTTTTTCAGGAATTCACTCATCGCCATGATGGAGAACATTATTTCAGTCCTAGCAACGAGATGTGGCTGAGATTCCAAACAGATTGGGATAAATCTAAACGTGGATTTGACATCACATACAATTCTTTTAATTGTAAGTGTACATGTTTGTTTGTACATGTTCTTTGAAATAACTTTTCTTGAACATTTAGATGTTCTTCACATATTCTATTTTTCTACATAATAAATAATTCAAAATACATAATTTTTTTTTCAGGCCCAGAAGGCTACACAGTTGGCTACAACTATGGATGTTACAAGTTTGTTGAAGATCCTGAAGATTGGGATGAAGCAAGACAAGATTGTGAATCAACTGAAGATGGAGATTTAGTGATAATTGACAATGAGGATGAACTAGAATTTGTACGAGATGCTATGGATATCTCAGATTTCTGGGTTGGTGAGTATGCATGCAGCCTGTATGTTTTTTTGTTGAAGTTGTCCCTCTAATGTGAAAGCATGCCAGTAATAATATAATTGTTTTTCACCAAATTATATAATTATATAAAAGGATGACCGGAAATTTGATGATGAAGCTATGTTGTATATAATAAAGCTATGTCATACCTTTTACTCCTGTGTTTGAAGCACACAATGGGAGTCTTTGCAATTACCCTGTCTGTATGCATGTGTGTGTGTGTGTGTGTCCGTTCCACTGATATCTCAAGAACCGTATGTTGGTTTTTAATGAAACTTGGTGCATAGATGCTCTTGGCTAATGCACAGTTTTGATTAGGTTTTGGTTGAAATCCATGCATATTAATTACCTGATTTGCATGATAATTAGCTATTTTTTTTATTTTGATGAAACCTGGTACATAGATGCTCTGGATTAATGCTCATATGTGATTAGTTTTGGGTAAAAATCCATGCTTATAATTAACCTAATTTGCATAATGATTAGTCAATTTTCGTTTTTTTTCACTGATATCTCAGATACTAATGATCACATTTCAATGAAACTTTAATACATAGATACATAGGATGATGCACAGACAGATATGTGAAATATTAATTACCTAATTTACATAATTAATCAATTTTCAGTTTTTGATAATTCAAGAACTATTACAGACTTCATTACTTTTCAATGATACTTGGTACATAGATGCTCTAGAACAATCCAAAGACCTGATTAATTTTCAGTAAAAATATGTGCATATTAATCATCTAATTTGCGTAATTAGTTAATTTTTGGCTTTTACACGGATATCGCAAGTACTAATTATCCCATTTCAATGAATTTTGGTACAGACCTGATTAGTTTTGCGTTAAAATTAGTACATATTAATTACCTAATTTGCATAATTAGCCAATTTTCTGCTTTTACACTAATATCACATGTACTAATTATTCCATTTCAAAAAAACTTGATACATTGATGCTCCAGAGCAGTACACAGACCCGCTCAGTTTTGAATTAAAATCAGATCATATTAATTACCTAATTTGCATAATAAATCTTATTTTTTGGTTCTAATCACATTTTAATGAAACTTCGTACATAGATGGTCTGTGGCAGTACTTATCTTAATTCAATGAATCTTAGTACATATGTAATCTAACACAATGTGATGATCAAACTAGTTTTAGGTTTTTATACATCTATAATAATTATTTACTTTTCAGCTTTCCACTAATTTAGTTAGGATTAATCATCACATTATAATGAAACCTTTTACATGTGCACCCTGAAACAATATACAGACCTAAATCTATGCATAATAATTGCTTAATTTGTATAATAATTTATTTGGTTAATTGAGGTAATCCACAGACATGATTAGTTTAATGTTGATAAACATGCATATTGATTATTTATTATTAGCCCATTTCTGATATCTAAAAAAATCAGATTTAAATTGAATTCATCGCAGAGGTGCTCTGGAATAAATTAGACTAAAAACCATGGATGAAAAATCAAATGTATTTTCTGTATGTATTATATAAATTTTGATAATGTGAATCACATTTTTTTCAAGTTATGCATCTCAAATAGCAGACAAAAATCAGTTGCCAAGCTTCTCATTTGAAAAGCAAATCCTAAATTTTGAATTAATTTTTAATATGTCTGCAATACTCTCAGCACACGAGAGTTCTTTTTAAGCTTTCTTTGATTAAAATTTGTTTTCACATAATTTTTGTATAAATTAATTTGTAACTATCAAATGTCCACCTGTTTGCCATATCGTACAGTTACCGTACTGGTGTTTTTTCAAAATTACTAATTCTTAGCTAGTAGACACGTCAGGTATGATTAGGGATTGATAACCTGTTGCAGTTCAAAGTTTGAAAGAATTTGTCCCTGTCTTTAAAATACTGTTAATCCTTTGAGTCCTAATGCAAATATTTTCACCTTTTGTGAAATTTTCGCTGAATTTTATCATAAATTTAGACCATACAAATATTGCTTTTCGTTTTTGATAAATGGTTTGCCAATATTTATCAATATTTCATGTGGAAAGAAGCGAACTGTATAATATGAATTTGCCAAATTTGACATTATTCACATTTTCCTATCATCATGCAACTCTATTTATTCTCTTATATATCTAGGTTATTATGATGTGGCTGAAGAAGGAAACTGGGTGTGGATAGACTGTTCAGAATCTACAGTTTGGCACTTGGATAACTGGGCAGTATTACAACCAAGCGGAAGAGCCTATGAAGATTGTGTTGTTGTAAATAGCTTTGGTAGATGGAATGATGTTGACTGTAGACACAACCAACCCTATGTTTGTGAAATCACTCCAAAACGTAATATTCATCATTTTTTATATCATAATCATAATCATCCCATAATGATTATATCATAATCATTGTAAGGACTGTGTTGCGAGGACTAGTAGTCCCCATCATCAGGCTTTGAATCAGCCTTTTTTGTTAGCTCTGCTGTCAAGTGGAGCTTATCATGAGTGATTGTTCCTCGTCCATGTCAATTTTTTACATACTTGGTGTATATGTACCCTGGGCAGACCACTCTCAGATTTGTTCATTTCGTGATAATATTTGGTAAAAAGTGATATTTTCGAATTCTTTTTGAAAACAGCAAATCCTATTGCTTTGATACTATACATATTGTTCATGTTCTAATGATATTTTCAGTTCATTAATTGAAATGTGCATTTCTAATAGCAGAGCTATCTCAGCCGACAGGCTGCTTGTTTAAATTAATTAGTCACTCTATGGCTTAGAAAAGAGAGACATGTCAGTGCCAATCTTAATTTTAATTGAGCTATCAACCTGTTGACTATAAAAATGTTCATACTATTTGCATTATTAGATTTGCTCATACTAGCTGTATGCAAAAATAAGTTATAGTCTAATAACTCAGCATACAATAATCATACATTGTTTGCTTTATTGGAGGTGTGTTTCTAATAGAGTAAATATATAAATATTTGCAGGAATAGTAGGCTAAAAATCTGAAACTATAACTGTCATTCATTAATATGTAGTTTTTATTTAGCATTTTCTATTTTGATTACTCTTGTTTTAAATCTGTCTAGCAGCATTATCTTGACTGTTAATTTCGTTTTCTCCAGCATTTGAAGAGGAAGACAAGAATGTTCAGAGTGTGGATGGTGAGGCAATGTCATCGTCAGAAATTCTTGTCACTTGGACAATATCAGAATACAACTGTGATGTCTTGGGATATTATGTGAAATACCACAGATTGGATTGGGTTGGTGGTGCTGTTGTTGTTGATGTACCTGGCGGAGCTATGACGGAGACTATGCTAACTAGACTTGACTCTTCAACCTGGTATGCCTTATATGTTGCTGCGTACACCCACAAAGGAGCACTGGAATATGTGGAAGGAGATCCTGTCCAAACTCATGAAGGTATAAAACATATCACATAATATATTAATTGTTGATGTACTAATATATGAAATGCACTCGAAATAAATTGAAACAAAGAGTAAAAACGAAAGTGACGCTTAGAGGCATGTGCAAATACAGGTCCATAGGTGAGAGGATAGTGATTAACAGAATATGATTGGTTGAGGGTTTTCATTCAGAATCTTGAAATGATGTAAAGCTCAGAACCATGCTCTTACAACATCAAAAAAAAAACTCAGAAAATCACAATATTTGTTATAAGTATTGATATCCCACAACTGCACTAGTGTAACAGCTTTCCATCCAACCTATCATATCGATCATTTTTCCATCACATTACAGTTGCACATTTTAATATTGCATTCATGTCATGCTTTTATCACACCATCCATTTGAAAATCCAAGCAACAATACCAAACTATAATCCAAACAATCAATGTCAAAAGGCAATATTTACAAATCCGATAACACACGGGGGACACACAAACAAAACAAACAACACACTGTCAAATCGATACATGGACCTCAAGGCACAAACCAAGAGGTGATGTCAGGTGTTTCGAAAAGAGTGAGCACATCCTGCTCTACATGTGGCACCCGCCATATATCTCTCTGAGTCACAATCTACCACACTAGGAATCTAAATGCTAAATGTTGTTTGACTCCTGTGGTCATTACATGTTGAAACCAGAGATTTTGCAATTTTTTTTAATAAAAGATGCACTAGAAATACAATTTCTGTGGTTCTATTGGGTCTACAGCATGGTGCACTAAAATGTGATATGAAAATATTTGTTGTCAGAGTTAATGCAATATTAAAATAGGCTATGAAAATATAACTGTTGGCTGACACAGATACATGTAAATAGAGGAATCTGTGAGACATACTGGATAAAACTCTACTGCATACCAGTGAATAGTTTTCAAATGCATGAAATATTGCATGTTAGCATTCAGGGTTTCAAACTCGCATGGTTTTACATCTATAATGCAATTTCCATTAATGTATAAAACGTTACATACAAATGTAAAAGGCAATAATACAAAGCTAGGGTTTTTGTTATGGTGCCTAGGCAATGTAGATGTCTGATTGGTTAAAATGTTGTGTAAACAAACAACACCATGCCTTTACTTATATGTGACTGACAACCTCTGCCCTTTGTAGAATTTGTGTGTAGTTTAGTAGAAAAGATTAGTAAATCTGTCAATAATGATATCAAGTTTGTATTGTCCTATAATTCAGTCCTCAACTTGTCAACTTTCTCTCTCTTTCTTCTGAATTACTAGTATATTGATTCCATTGTTTGTTACTTTTCTCAAGTTGTGAAGCCACCAGAACCAGTCCCAGACGAGCCTAGTAAGCACTGTGGTAGCAACTATACAGTGAAAAATGATTCAGTGATAAGAATTACTTCACCTAACTATCCAGCTCACTACGGTGATAATGAGGTAAGCTCGTAATCGGATTAAATTAAAATACGCTGTGTATTATACATCTGATGATTAAGTCAATTTGGCGCGTTCCATCTATTAAAGACGTTTTCAAAATTGGCATGGATGTGTGGGAATGTACGTGTTACAGATTGCCCTCCAAATGTGAATCAGAAACATTATATTCAAACTTGTTTACATCGAACATGTCAGCATTATATGGCACTGCTAGTGCTTGGACATTATAAAATGTTTTTTGCTGTTATTCCTCACTAAATTATGCACAAGCTTGAAAAAATGTCTAATGATATA